TTTATTTTGTTCAAAGTCTTTAATTCTTTATAAAACATAAAAAAAAAATAAAAAAAATATACATGCAATGCACAAATAGATATGCTACTCCCCAGAACTAGAAGCTCCAAGTTAGCAATCCACATTGATAGCCACGTATTCTCTTTGGCCAGGTGGACAGAAAGCCAGTTGAAAAATCAATGGGGGAGCCAACACAGGCAAGGTCAACAATAGGCTCCTAAGTCCGAAGCTCCTTCATTCAAAGGCAGAGGCTCTTAAGCCCGAAGCTCCTTCATGCGAAAGCAGAGGCTCCTTAAGTCGGAAGCTCCTTCGTTCGAAAGCAGAGACTCTTTAAGGCCGAAGCTCCTTCGTTCAAAGGTAGAGGCTCCTTAAGTCCTAAGTGCTGAAGCTTAAAGCAGACGTTTTCTCATAACAGATTCGAAGATCTCTCAGAATCGATTTACGTGACATCTGCCATAGAGTGTCCGTAGCGTTAACGTGTGTCGGTGAGTTAGTCTACAAAGTAGAATGACGGATCTTCTACCAAACATTAATTATAAAGATTGGACATTGATGTGAGACTTCGGTCTAGGGGATGTCGCCACGTGGATTTGATTCGACGATCACCACGTCAGCTAAACTAGTATAAACAGCCCCTAATTGTATAGAAGAAGGGGAGGGGGTAATCACTAAATCAAGAATAAAAACAACATATTTACGCACTTTGCTTTGCTTTATCTTGGGCAATACAATCTATATTGAGATCATAACGCATTACAAGACATTTTCTTTTATCTATCCTTCCACATATTCCATAACAAAACAGATATTCATTTTGGGAAAATCGATCTAACTATTGTTGATAGCGCAAGGGTCGTTCAAATCAAACCACCGGAGCCTGAACAGTTGTGTTTCTTGTCGGAAAGCACTTTCCGCGTTCAATCCAACCATACTACCCGCGCCGGATCATTGCTGACGTGACAAGGATGGACCCAGTATTTGTTGAGTTCATTTTTGAGATCAACAAGATACACAAATTGTACACTTCTTTTTGCTACTTTTAGTTTCCCAGTCTGTCTCCATCCTCCGTTATAGAGCAGATCTTCCAACTTCTCCATTATAAAAAACACACAAACTAGGGAATGAAAAACCAAAAAGAACACTAGAAAAAAAAACCAGTTTGCATTTTGATATGATATTCATTTACTGGGAACGAAATTCCATGCGGTAGGAGGCTTGAAGCCTGTAAATTTTGATTGATAGCTGATTTTTTGTTGTTTGAAAGGGTGGTGATAAATGGGAAATGTGACGTCAAGTGTGGCGGCAAAGTTTGCGTTTGTCCTTCCGGACCCACCTACATACGACGTCTACTGTGATGAATTGGATGGGTGGCTGGTGATGAGTGGTATAATGGCGGATAAAAATGTGGACGTCCATTTGTTGCAGACCAAGAGCGGGAATAAGGTTGTGGCTAGACAAGGAGACAGGATGGGGGGGCGGTCATTGTCCACTGGTCCACTATTCCTAGTTAATTT